CAAGTTCAAGAATATTATGACAATATATTTAATTTAAACACTTCGTACTAATCTATTAGCAATTTCATCCCGTAAATTTATCATATATTGTATGTTGTAGGTACCCCATTGTCAGGGCCGAAGCTGAAAATATAGAGACCCGGACACCCGGTGCAACAAAAAAAGGCCTTTCTTTTCAACACAAAGGTAAATAGAAGATAGATAATAATGGTAATAGTAATAACTTAAAAAGTAATTTTAAGTAATAATGATAATTAATTTAATTTTGACTTAATAACTTTAAACCGACAACCTAAAAAGTAATAACTAATAATATATTTATACATTTACACCAAATTATTAAACATAAATAGTTTAATTAATTTGTCAAACAATTACACAAAATAAAAAAGTAACAACCCGGATACCTAATTTGTTAAATATCATACGGAGTAATAGATTAGGAGAACATGAGGCATAAGGCATAAATACTAAATAATCTACTAATAATCCAAACATATAAGAAAATCAATTAAAATAGTCAAATTGATTAACTTACCTGCAGGTTGTAGCGGAGACTTGGCGTGCGAGTGGGCGGAGTGGTGCGACTGCTAAGTTGATGGGCTGGGAGAGCCGGAGAGGCAGTACGGTGCTGGACTGCCCGGAGTGTTGGTATGCTGCGGTGACATCCCTATAGGCCTATAAGGAGGTCACGGAGGAAGGAGTTGGCCTTGGTCTATTGATGTGGAGTGTGGAATGACGGAATGGGCGACTGCTGTATTTCCCTCCACGCAAGTTGCGTTCTCTGGTTGATCCTCTCTTTTTTGAGGCCCTATGCAACTTCACAGACTCTCCCCCCGGCCCGGCACTACCCATTGTGTTCCATTTATTTCTTCTACGCTACCTTGGCTTTGTCCTCCATTCATAAATATTGCCTCGTCATCCCATTCCTCCAAAGGTCATCTTGAATGTGTTTTTTTACTCCAGGGGGCGCTTGGGCCTCTAGGGAGGGGGCCTGGGGTAATCAGGGCTGAAACTCACTCCATTGAGTTTCGAACCCGAGACCTCCCATAAGGGAGAGTGAGTCGGCGTCCAGCTGGGCTCCTGGTCATCTTGAATGTTGTATATTCTTATCAAGTTATGAATAGCAAAACAAGCAATCACCACGTTCTTTTAAATTGGAAATGGATAAGGAGCCTTATGTTCTAAGATCGCAAACCTTGCTTTCAGCACACCATAAACACGTTCAATGACATTCCGAAGTTGTGCATGGGCGCAATTGAATCTTTCTTCTTTAGTCAATGCACGTCGGTGTCGAAAATCTTATTACCAATGCCCTATGTTACTTAACGATATGGAGCCAAGAAGCCATGAGTGTTCGAAATATGCAACATCACAAAGGTAGTATTTATCTTTAACATTTCGTAAGTGCTATAAGTTTTATTACTTTATATAGTAATTACAAAAACAATAAAGAAAATTTGATAATGATACACACCTGGTGGAGGAAAGGGAAAGAGGGAATTTGGGTCTCAGGAGGTCACCGGGGAAGGAGTTGGCCTTGGTCTATTGATGCGGAGTGTGGAATGTTCGAATGGGTGACTGCTGTATTTCCCTCGACGCAAGTTGCGTTCTCTGGTTGAATCCACGCTAACTTCCGATTCTCAGGCTATTAGGTTTTTCTATTTGGACTTGGGGTACCTAATACTATTACTAAAAAAATTGGATCCTCTCTTTTTTGAGGCCCTATGCAACTTCACAGAATCTCCCCCCGACCCGGCCCTACCCATTGTGTTCCATCTATTTCTTCTACGCTGCCTTGGCTTTGTCCACCTTCATTCTTAAATATTGCCTCGTCATCCCATTCCTCCAAAGGTCATCTTGAATGTGTTTTTTTACTCCAGAGGGCGTCTGGGCCTCTGGGGAGGGGGCCTGGGGTAATCAGGGCTGGAACTCACTCCATTGAGTTTTGAACCTGAGACCTCCCATAAGGGAGAGTGAGTCGGCGTCCAGCTGGGCTCCTGGTCATCTTGAATGTTATATATTCCTATCAAGTTATGAACAGCAAAACAAGCAATCACCACGTTCTTTCAAATTAGAAATGGATAAGGAGCCTTCTGTTCTAAGATCGCAAACTTTGCTTCCAGCACACTGCACACCATAAACATGTTCAATGACATTCTGAAGTTGTGCATGTGCGCAATTCAATCTTTCTTCTTTAGTCAATGCACGTCGGTGTCGGAAATCTTATTACCAATGCCCTGTGTTACTTTACGATATGGAGCCAGGAAGCCATGAGTGTTCGAAATATGAAACATCGCAAAGGTAGTATTTATCTCTAACATTTCGTAAGTGCTATAAGTTTTATATAGTAATTACAAAAACAAGAAAGAACATTTGATAATGATACACACCTGATGGAGGAAAGGGAAAGCAAGAATTTGGGTCAAATATAACTTGAGTTCATACTCGTGGGTCATGTGTTATTCCTTTCCAACCCACGCAAACAAAAGTGAACACCATCTTGAAATCACAAATACTTAAAACATTCTGGTAACACCGACCTCCTCCTTTTCTGTTTGATAGGAGTCTAATTCGTTGGTAAGGAATTCTTGTTGCTACTGATCTCAAATGATCTTTATATTAAACTCGAATGAGTGTAAGCCTAAAAGGAATGAACATACACAAATGAATATTGAGCACATTAAAAATGAGTTTTATGTTAAGCTCAAATGAGTATAACTTCCAAAATGAATGAGCATACACAAATGAGTTTTTGAATTTTTTGATACTCATTTCGTAAGTTATGTATGCTCATTTGATACTGTTTTATGCTCATTTGAAAAGATTTCATATTTTAAACTTATCATGCTACATTAGATTCACATATTGAAATATATTGAAATTGGTTATAGACGTAATTTAAGACTTTTTAATAAACGAAAAAAATAATAAACAGAAAGTGATGTATAAGGTATGAAACAGAGATCACTTATGCTCACTGTTAGACTCCTAATACTCAAAAGATCATGCTCGATACTCATCAAAATTGATTCAATGCTCATATAAGAGAAATCATAAGGTTCACCAAAATTACAAATTTGTCACCAGTTGTACAGTTGGCACCGTACAGCCCATTATATGATATACGCTTCCATAGTATTTTGTATCTCAGGTATTTATGGACTTTTTCTAACATAATTAAAATATTATCGAATAAATAAGGGAAAAGGGTCAGATAGGGTCTCGAACTTACATAAAAAGGTCAAATAGGACCTTATATAAGAGACCCTGTCCGGCCGACGCCATTTGGGGCGGTTCCCGGTGGAACTTTTTGATGAATTTTTTTGAGCATCTTATTCATTAAGTCTAGTTTAATCATACCAAATTTGAACTAAAACTACAATTGGGAAGGCATTCAAATGAATTTTTGAAGATAATTGTGCAGTTAAAAGCGCAGTTATCTTCAAGAATTTATTTGAATGCCTTCCCGATTGAAGTTTAGTTGAAGTTATCAATGGCTAGTCAGCCTAGTCTAGCATGACATGGTAGGGGCAGGGGCGGGACTGGTTGGGCAGGATGCGAGGCTGGATTGGACTGCTGGGGCTGTGGCAATGGTTTGGGACAACAATATCGAGGTGGTCAATGGCAGGATGTCAATATTGGGTTTGTCATCGGGGCCGAGTTGGTCACGGCGGTCGTGGTCGGGTTGGTAATTGGAGCCGGGTTGGTCACTGGGGTCGGGATGGTCACTGAGATCGGGGTGGTCATGGGGGTCAGGTGTCACTATAGTCGGGATGTCAGTGCAGTGAGAATGTAAGTGTTGGTAACTGTTGCATTGGTAACTGTGGAATATAGTCACTTTAGTTGTGATTAAAGTCACTAAGACATAGGTCACTTTAAAGACATAGGTCACTGTAATGCATTGGTCACTGTAGCGGGTTTGCCTGGGTTAGTAAGGGCATAATAGTCTGTAGCCTTTTTAGTCACATTTTTTGAAATTCTACAAAAATGTCACATTTTTAGTTATTTTTTATAATTCTTTAAAGTTTTTATTTATTTACATTTTATTTTTTTTTTTGTTTATTTTTTATTTTTTACGTTTTTGTTAAGAATACATGTGGTGCTGGACTGCCCGGAGTGCTGGCATGCTGGGGTGGCGTCCCTATAGGCCTATACGAAGGTCACAGAGAAGGAGTTGGACTTGGGTTATTGATGCGGTGAGCCACTGACTGATGCAGGATGTGGAATGACCGAATGAACACACACAAACGAATACTGAGCACATAAAAAATGAATTTCATGTTAAACTCAAATGAGTATTACTTCCAAAATGAATGAGCATACACAAATGAGCTTTTGAATTTTTTGATACTCATTTCGTAAGTTATGTATGCTCATTTGATACTGCTTTATGCTCATTTTAAAAGGTTTCACATTTTAAACATATCATACTACATTAGATTCACATAGTGAAATTAATTGAAATTGATTGTAGACATAATTTAAGACTTTTTAATAAACAAAAAAATAATAAACAGAAAGTGATGTATAAGGTATGAAGTAGAGATTATTGATGCTCACTGTTAGTCTCCTAATACTCAAAAGACCATGCTCGATTCTCATCAAAATTGATTCAATGTTCATTTAAGAGAAAACATAAGTTTAACCAAAATTAAAAAATTGTCATCGGTTGTATAGTTGGCACCGCCGCACCGTACAACCGATTGTATGATATACACTTCCATAGTCTTTTTTATCTCAGGTATTTATGGACTTTTTCTAACAGAATTAAAATATTATAGAATAAATAATAAGCAAAGGCTTTGATGTCACCCAAACATATCAAATCGAACGATCAGAAGCACCTCACGCTCAATCTCTTCCTACCTTTGATTACTGCAACACTCTCTTGCTCCACAGGCCTCCACGATCAACGCGTTAAACCCGTCAGATCAAATCCAATCAAACGGTTATTGTATTTTTCCATTTCTGTTCTCTTCTAGCTATCTCCAGATCTCCCTGTCCCTGCTCACTAGCCCATTCACATCCCGCTCTTTTTTTGTTAATCCTGATCAGTATACTCAAACTCATCATCTCTACGACTCTACTGAGTATATTTATTCATATCTTCTCTGTGAAGTCGCTTTGTTTTGGGGGAGAATGCAGGAGCAAGCTGCTACTAGTTCCATTGCGGCCAGCTCTCTTCCTTCCAGCAGTGAAAGATCTTCCAGCTCTGCCTTCCAGCTTGAATTCAAAGAAGGTATCTTTTTTGCCTTTCCTGTATTTATTTATTAAATTTTCTGTTGAAGGTAACCTGTTTTTCTTATAGAATTTTGAACTTGCTTAAATAAATGTGATATACCGGTCAAAGATTAAATCTTTGGGTTGTTTCTGGAACTTATATGCCAGAAATAGAAGAAGAAAGGTTCCCAGTTTGAGATAATTTTTCTGTTGAGAACTTAATTGGTGCTCTTTGGGCTTTTTTTTTACATAGTTCTTAGAGTCCTTGTTCTTGAAATGTATACAATTTACTGTAAAAATGGATATGGGTTTTGGGCATTGACGAATTCTGATTTATGCCTGCATACGTAGCTGTCATCCCAAAGGATCTAATTTGTCTCCTTAGTTTTGGTTAATTTTCTATCAAGTGTAGTTCCTCATTATATCATTTGTGTTTATTCAAAGGGCAGTTGTATGCTATTTATTTTTTATTCACATGACTTTTTTGGTATATTTTTCATTATCATAGCAGGGAATACCATATTTTCTTGGAAAGTAAAACTTAATGACGATTTGGTGGTCATTTTTCTACCGATCAGCCTGAAAAATGCTGACATTCCATTCACCTGATGCTGAAATGGTTGAATTAGCAGTCAATTGAAATGATAATCCATCATTGACCTTTTCTCTATAATAGTTGAAATGTTGAGAACTTAGAGAATTATACTTTTGTCCGTCTGGCGTCTGACACAAGTTTTGACCTTTTTGTGTGTGTGAATGCATTCAAATGTACTAACAGTCTAACACATGTTGCTATGTGTCTGTTTACAGGTAATGTGCACACAATAATTAAATTAAATCCTTTTGGTTTATTTAGCCCATTGTCCTAAAATTATTTGGCCTATGCTTAATATGAGTTAATAAAATGTTGTTGCCTATTGAAAGGCTTGGAAAGTGATGAAGAGATTAGGAGAGTGCCTGAGATGGGTGTAGAAGCCGTTGGTCCATCTGCTTCAGGCCGTCATGGCACCTCCCTAGCGGGTCCTGCTCAGCTATCAACCAGCGGTCAAAGGAAGAGGGGTAGAAGTCCAGCTGACAAAGAGAACAAGAGGCTGAAAAGGTAAATTCACATTTATTGCTTCTTATACTGCTATTATATGGCAGTTATAGAGGTACAGCATAAAACACAGGTTGGGTCTTGGGTATATAAAGAAGTATCTCAAATCCAACCCGAAACCCAAACTTCTGAATTCACTATTATTATAATTTATAAAAAAACTACTCAATTCAATGATACTTTAGTCTTTAGGTTTATACTTTGGACTGTGGAGATTTCCATAGACAGGATTAAACATATTTGTTTTCCATATATAGGACTAATATATTTTCTCGGAATAAAAAATGAATTGGTAAACAAGAATATCCTTCCTGTGTAATTTAATTTGCACAACATAAAAGTGAAAATAAAATAAAAAACCGTTAGACCACTGCCAAATATTGTCATCTTGAAACTATAGAGTTGTCCTAAAATCGTGCTCTCCTCCACATACTGCCATTCTGCATTTCAACAAGGCGATAAACGCCGGCCAAATATTGCCATCATAAAACAATATTCCCATATTGGATTGTGACTGTCACTGGCCAAATACCGCATCCTAAAACAATATTGTCATCTTGAAACTATTGCCATCTTGGATTCAGATGACTCCAACCAAATACGGCATCCTAAAACAATAGTTTCATCTTCAAACCATACGGACTTCCATCTTTGATTCTTACGGCCGTTGCCATAATTCCATGTGCTGCCATTCTGAAATGATACTGCCATCTTGTATGATTAATGTCATCCTAATATTATTTTTGTAATAAGAGTATAATACTGTCATGCTTGGATAAAATCAGAATGTTATTTTCAATAGTTGTGCTATATCACACCACTTTTTGGCAGAAAAAACAAATGGCAGTATTATGTCACAGAAAAACTCCAGACATCTCAAAATTGACCTTAGCCGATCCATTTCAAATCCAACAGGAGATATTGAACTTCAAGTGCCGTGAGGAAAATCGTCCAAAGTTTTAAACCACATTGCTTACTCGTCAAGAGCAATTTCTGTAAAAGAATTAGAGACACTTAAATTGGAGCAAACAAATTTCAGTAAATGAATTTTATAAAGGAACTTATGCAAAGGAATTATAGCAAGAAATGCCTCGATCTGGAAGAGATGACCTGAGGATTGGAAACTTAAATTGAAGGCGTCATGGTTACAGACTTGTATATCTGTGAATGAGACCATGGAAGAAGAGGAAGAAGGAAACACATAGTGCCTGGAATTTCGCTGTCATCAATGCTGTTTCCGTTCGTTGCTGTCACTGTTTGCCACATCATCGCTGGTGTCCTGACAGAGAGATTATGCAGAAAGTTAGGTAAAAGAGTAGGAGAAAGTCATTTGACTTTAGGAACAATTAAGTAAAAAAAACTCCTATTTTTGGAATTAAACCTATTTAGGTATAACACCTACCTTTTACTCCTACTTAGGGTAATTTTTCTTAATATTTTGTCAGCTTTTGTATGGATCAGGCAATTTCCGACATTGATGAATATGTGCTTATGTATTATCAAGAAATATCTTTTTCACCATTTTCTTTCGATATGGACCACACCTAATAAATTTTAAAAATCCCGGCTTTTGATAATCCGGACCTACGGAAACTGACCAATTCCCTCCTGAACGTGAAATGCACAAATTTTAGCATCAGTTTTCTGGTCTTGAAGGTTAGTAGTTTAGTACCCAATTGTTTTTGTAATTTATTTTTCTGTCGTTTGTGTTTAAAAGGTTGTTAAGGAACAGAGTATCAGCACAACAAGCGAGGGAGAGAAAGAAAGCATATTTGATAGATTTGGAGGTAAGGGTGAAAGACTTGGAAACAAAGAATGCTGAGCTGGAAGAGCGGGTCTCCACATTGCAAAATGAAAACCAGATGCTAAGACATGTAAGTATTAGTTGCACCTACTTGTGTGACCTGCTACCTGCCATTTGATTTTTTGGCTCCTGAATTCATGTCAACCTCATGATTTCTCCTTTATTGTCATTATTATTAATATTAATTGTTAATATTATCATTAGTTCAACATCATTATTATTGTTATTATTATTAGTAATTTATTTATCTCATTTAATTGAGACCAAATGCTAGCGTACTCGCGCAAAAGTAGTGGAGTTATTTATCGAGATTTGATTTGAAACAAACACATCATTTTATTTTTTGTGTGATGTTTTGTTCTATAACCTGTGAAATCTCTCTCGTCTGGGACTCTAATTTATTCACAATTGATTCAAGGGAGAAGTTTAATAGTTGGAATAATCAGATTGACCTTGAGAAATATATAAAAACTACTCCTTGCATACCACTTTGATAAGCCATATTAGATGTTTCTGCTCAAAGGTGTTGAATCTGCAACGTAGTTGACCCATGTTTTTAATAGATAACTTGTGGCAATAATTATAAATTGTGTGTTATTAAAAGATTACCCTTAACAAAAAACATTTCATATTATTTTTACATGATGAATCTTTTCGAATAGAAACATATTATTGGTTAAATTTGAAACTCTTTGTACCAAAAAAAGCACATGTTGCAGATTCAACTGGGACGTAAGGACTAAGGAGTATTAGAGTAAAATTCTTTTAAGTTTTGAATCCTTAGATTGTGCATTGTAATAGGATTTGAAAAACTCATGTAGTGTACACCATATCACGGGCCCCATTTCGCCCCTTCACCTGGTAATGGATGGGGATGTAAATTGTAAGTAGCTCTGGAAAGTCATTGTACACTTTTTTTTTGCATGGAGGGCAGGGGTTGTCCCATGCTGTCAATGTGGTATGGTGTCACTATGAAGTAACCAAATATTCTTCAAATCTTTGTCACCTAACTTTTCCCAACTGACATAGTTTCATCTTATTGATTAATGGTGAGGTTGACCAAATTGGCAATTCATAATAACATTTGAAGTCTCAATACTTCTCAAAAGTTATACATCATTTTGAAAAAGTCTTGGTAAATGATTTTCCAAAAAACAGAATTATCCTACAGAAGTGTTACATTTGAACATTCCAAAAAAATTAATTTTTTTTTTATATTCTGATTAAAAGTTGTATGACTTTAAATGATGTCCATTAATTTTAAGTACTCTACTTTTGTAATTCATTGGTTTAGCCACCAACATATAAACTTTAATTTAGAGAAAAATTGTATCATGTTGAAATTTAAATTTCAAGAATGGCACACTTGAAATTAATATCTTGTAATGCAAAACACTTTTTTTTTTATAACCAAGACTTCTTTCTTGATTGATGTCTTAATAGGACTGATAGATTATAATTATTAATTAAATACGTGTACTTATCTCTAAGTTATTTACTTGTATTTATCTCTAGTTTATTCTTATCCCTTGTAACAATATGAGCTACACATGCTCTACGATCATTATATATACATACGGTTCATAGATCACAATGATCTAAGCCTCATTAAATCCAAATCCTTTATGGTATCAAAGCCTTCAATCATCTAAGATTGATCAAGGTCCATTTTTTTCCTTGCATAATGTCGTCCTCCTCTTCCTCTCCGTCCAGCAATCTGATTCCCACCAACATCCCACCCCAACTCATTTCTCTCAATGCATCTTCTCAAATACCAATCAAGTTATCCAAAGATGGACTTAATTACTCCTCTTGGAAATCTCAAATGACCAATTTACTTTTTGGTTATGATCTCCTAGGCTATGTCAATGGCACAAATCCATGTCCTGCCGCCGGCCATGCCGACTACAACTTTTGGACTCGTCAGGATCGACTTATTCTCCTGGCATTACAGTCCACCGTCACCACCAATATCTGCCCGATCATCAACTCATGCACCACATCGGCTGATGCATGGCAGAAGCTTGAGTCCAGTTTTGCAAACACATCCACTACCCGTATGCTTTCCCTTCTTTCGGCTCTCATGAACACCAAGAAAGCTGGCAAAACTGTAACCGAATACATGAATACCTTGCGGACACTTATTGATGATCTTGTCACTATTGGGCATCCACCTAGTGACGGCCAAATTGCTTCATATGTCCTTGGTGGTCTTGGTGGTGAATTCAAAGACTTGGTTGGAGCTTTACGTGTGCAGCCCACACCACCAACATTTGAAGACTTGCGTCATTATTTACAAGATGCTGAATTACTGTCTAGTGAATCTTCGGTGGCCACTTTTGATGTTCCTGTTACGGCTCAATACACTCAACGCCGCACTAACCCTCGTGGCCGTGGAGGACGTGGTCGAGGCCGTCACTCTCATTTGCCTCATCATCACGGTTTTGGCTCTCATGATGGAAGTTCGGGTTCTTTTCATCAATCCAATTCCAGCACTCCTTCTCAGTGCCAACTTTGTGACAAATTTGGTCACACCGCCAAAAATTGCTACTCTTTTAAAGGCCATTCTCCGAGTGCTAATAACGTCTCTAGCCAGACTCAAGGTTCTAATACTAGTTGGCTTCTTGATACGGGAGCAACTCATCACATCACATCAGATCTAAACAATCTCAACATTCACTCCGACTACAACGGATCTGATTCTGTAGCTATGGGAAATGGTAAGACTATACCTATTACACATACTGGCTCTTCGGTGCTTACTTCACCTGATTCTACTTTTAAACTTAATAATGTTCTGTGTGCACCCCTCATCCGTCGAAATCTTATCTCCGTTAATCAATTTTGTACCCAAAATAATACTTCTATAGAGTTCTTACCTAATTCTTTTGTTGTGAAGGATCTAACCACGGGGGCATCCTTGGCCCGCGGCCGGAGTGATCACAATCTTTACAATTGGTCCACCCTCACGCCTCACGCATATAATGTCTCGTCCCCTGATCTTTGGCATCAAAGACTGGGCCACCCGTCTTCCTCCACTCAACGAAAAATAACTGGAGTTACTCCTTCTGCCATTGCTTGTGATTCTTGTCTTAGAGCTAAAAGTCATAAATTACCATTTACAATTTCCTCAATAAATTGTACTAGTCCTTTTCAGTATATTTATTCTGATGTATGGGGCCCTGCTCCAATTCCTGGAATTAATAAATCTCGATTTTATGTTATTTTCGTTGATTATTATTCCAAGTATTCATGGCTCTATCCAATTAAACATAAATCTGATGTTTATTCCGTGTTTAATAAATTTCGTGCCTTAATTGAAAATTATTTTGACACACGTATCAAAACACTATACACGGATGGTGGAGGCGAATTTTCAACTTTAGCACCCCTTTTAGCTAACCATGGTATCCAACACCTTATCTCTCCACCCTATACTCCTCAACATGTGGGGTCCGCTGAAAGAAAACATCGTCATGTTGTTGAAACTGCCCTAGCATTACTCTTTCATGCATCTGTGCCTATTTGTTATTGGCCATATGCTTTTCAGTATGCTACTTATCTCATTAACCGTCTCCCTACACCTCTTTTACATAATAAAAGTCCATATTTTACACTTTTTGGTGATTTCCCTACATATAAATCCCTTAAAGTATTTGGTTGCCTCTGTTATCCATGGCTTCGTCCTTATACTGAACATAAATTACAACCCCGCTCCCACCCATGCATTTATCTTGGGTTTTCTACCACTCATCACGCTCATATATGTCTTGACCGTCATACTAAAAAAATATACATTTCTCGCCATGTAATATTTTTTGAAACAAAGTTTCCCTACCGAACAAATACATCCTTATCTACACCACCTCAATCAATTATACAATCCTTCTCCACCAAAAACTAATGTGTGTTTTCTCGCACTTAAAATGGATGTAGTAAAGTGGTGTAAAGTACGAGTATCGTCTCCACAGGGACGGACAGAAGGGAAATAAAGATTAACTAAACTTTAGCGATTAAAAAGAAATAAATAAAATAAAAGTGCAATTGTGCGAGATTGGTTGATTGATTGAAATAAAACTAATGCTAATGAACGAATAAAAAGATTTGGTTTTCCTTAATTAACGACGAAGGGAACAGGAATTGATTCCGGGGTTAACCAGATTTCTGGCAGAACAGGCCTAATTACATGAATTTAATTTAATTGAGCCTAGCTAATCATTACTAAGTTCTTACCGCTCTCGCGGCGTAGAGTACAATAATTTAGGGGACCAGGCTGATCTCTCATGCGACAAGATCCTAAATTATTGCCAAGACGAGCGAGCTTACGGCCCCTTAATCGTTACTAATCTCTTAGCGAACGATTAAGTGTGTGTGAATGTGTCCTAGAACAAATTAGATCTCTCTTAATTTATTCTACATGCAATTGTAATTCTAGCTGCAGTCTAGGTTACAAGAGATATCAATTAAATTATTCAAACACAAATTAAACGGCATTCATGCAATTAAACCGACAAGAATCTAGCCATCAATCATGATTAACCCCTTCATCAACCCCAAATCCCTAATTAAACTACTCACGCCTCATAATTGACGAATCAAAAGAATTGGGATGAATAGAAATAATTGTCATTAATTAAAGAATTGAACTTACAAAGAATCCCAGGTTCTTGGATTAAACAACGTAAAAACGCAGGTAAAACTCGTCCCTAGGCCTCTCTCCAAAGTTCGTAACTCGAAAAGTGAGTATGAAGGCCTTATTTAAAGAAATCAACAAATTTGGGTCGAATTAGGACAAATCGCGGCCAGGCACGGTGCCAGGCACGACCGTGCCTGCGACCGTGCCTGCGGAAGAATCGCGTATTTCGCGTCCAGGCACGGCGTGCCTAACTGCCAGGCACGACCGTGCCTGGCCTCCAGTAGCTCCTAGCTTCGTTTTTCTTCAGGCACGGCGTGCCTAAGTCCAGGCACGACCGTGCCTGACCTTATTCTTCAATTTTCCTTCGTTTTCTTGCTCCAAACGCTACCGGATGCCTACGAGGTCGATCCGAATGCTCTTTCTTCATCAGAATT